AAAGATAGGTTACAAATTTTAAGGCTTACACGCGCGCATCAATTTCTTGAAGCTTTTGTTGCACCCAAGTTAGATGTCAATCCAATTCGAAAACATATACTATTAGGCTTGTCTGAAAAAATGGCTAGTTTTTATTACACAAGGACATGAATGATTTTGAATTTTTCTGTCCGGTTCTGAATATAATAATTCGAAATCATTCATACCATTGTGTAACAGAAACTGCTAACGTTTCAAAAATTTTAGAAATTAAAACGCAAAAAATTAAAAAAACTGGTAACGCTTTTCTCCACGAAAACTAATCCCCCAATTTAGTGATCGGGACAACATACAGAGTTGCGATGCTTGAAAGTTATAAAAGGCTTAGAAAAATTGTAGGTCCTTCTAGGACGCTACTTTGTTTTTTCTAGGAAACTACGTTGAATGAGTTATTCTCCAGCAAAAGCTAACAAAGTTGTTTCAAATTTGAAAAATTCATTGAATTGAGATTATGGAACTGTGTCATAATTTCACGGCGGCCTTGAAATTATGATACAATTCCTTAATCCTAATTCGAACAATTTTGTTCTGAACTGGCCCGTTTTTTCAGTTTGAATGCCTTAAAACTTAAACATCAAGCAATGAGGTCAACTATGTGTAGAATAAGAGAACGATCGAAAAATTATTTTTTAGGTCTGAAACAAAACTGGTTTGAGTCATTCCGTTTTTCAGTTTGAATGACTCCAAACTGAAACATAAAGCAATGAGATCAAGTGTGTAGAATAGCAGAACAAACAAATGTTATTTTTTTGATCTGAAACAAAACTGGTCTGAACTATTTTATTTTTCAGTTTGAACGACTTGAAACTTAAATATCAAGCTTAGAGGTCAACTATGTGTAGAATAGTAGAACAAACAAAAAATTATTTTTTAATTCTGAAACAAAACTGGTCTGAACTATTTCGTTTTTCAGTTTGAATGGCTTGAAACTTAAACATCAAGCAATGAGGTCAACTAGGTATAGAATAGCAGAACAAACAAAACATTATGTTTTGGGTCTGAAACAAAACTGGTCTGAATTATTCTGTTTTTCAGTTTGAAAGACTTAAAACTTAAACATCAAGCAATTAGGTTAACTATGTGTAGAATAGTAGAATGAACAAAAAGTTGTTTTTTAATTCTGAAACAAAACTGGTCTGAACTATTCCGTTTTTCAGTTTGAATGACTTGAAACTTAAACATCAAGCAATGAGGTCAACTATGTGTAGAATAGTAGAACAAACAAAAAATATTTTTTAAATCTGAAACCAAACTGGTTTTAACGATTCCGTTTTTCATTATAAATGCCTGAAAACTTAAACTTCAAGCAATGAAGTCAACTATGTGTAAAATAAAAGAACAAACAAAAAGTTATTTTTTAGGTCTGAAACCAAAACTGGTCTGAACTATTCCGTTTTTCGGTTTGAATGACTCGTAACTTAAACATCAAGCAATCAGGTCACGGGTGTAGAGTAGCAGAACAAACAAAATGTTATTTTTAGGTCTGAAACAAAACTGGTCTGAGCATTTCTGTTTTTCTGGCTGGAAAACCTATTTAAAAATTACGAGATAGGACATTGAATGCAGTTGTTGTTTTTGTCTTGCAGTTTGCATTTTCCTTTTTAAAACGAATTCAATTGCTGTTTACTGGAAAGGGTTTCCAAAATTTTAGCGGAAAAACAGTGTTTCAAATTTTTGATTTTGAAGTGCTTTGTCATAGTTTTGAAAGCCTTTGTAAGATAAGCCCGAGCACTTTGATCTTCTTCATCAGCAATGGTTTATTCCCATCAATTCTACCCATTCACGGTGTACAAAGGAACACTTATGTATGCTGTTTTTTCAAACGCACTTTGACTACCTCAAAAGAAGCTCCTGGTTGCCAAATCTGGTTTCTTATGAAATTTCTTATTGCTGACATTTGCATTTCAAATCAAGCTTTCAAAAGTTGACAAGCTCAAATTTTGTGACATTCAGTCAAACGAGCTGTCCATATTTTCAAAGTTAAAGAAAATGCATCTAAAGCTCTCAAAAATATTTTACCCAGCACAAGGAAATAAGGACTACAAAGAAATAAAAGATAGGTTACAAATTTTAAGGCTTACACGCGCGCATCAAATTCATGAAGCTTTTGTTGCACCCAAGTTAGATGTCAATCCAATTCGAAAACATTTACTATAATGCTTGTCTGAAAAAATGGCTAGTTTTTATTACACAAAGACATGACTGATTTCGAATTTTTCTGTCCGGTTCTGAATATAATAATTCGAAATCATTCATACCATTGTGTAACAGAAACTGCTAACGTTTCAAAAATTTTAGAAATTAAAAAACAAAAAATTTAAAAAACTGGTAACGTTTTTCTCCACGAAAACTAATCCCCCCCAATTTAGTGATCGGGACAACATACAGAGTTGCTATGCTTGAAAGTTATAGGAAGCTTAGAAAAATTGTAGGTCCTTCAAGGACGCTACTTTGTTTTTTTTTTCTAGGAAACTACGTTGAATGAATTATACTCCAACAAAAACTAACAAAGGTTGTTTCAAATTTGAAAAATTTTTCGAATTGAGATTATGGAATTGTATCATAATTTCACGGCAGCCTTTATATAATGATACAATTCCATAATCCTAATTCGAACAATTTTGTTCTGAACTGGTCCGCTTTTCAGTTTGAATGCCTTAAAACTTAAACATCAAGCAATGAGGTCAACTATGTGAAGAATAAGAGAACGAATAAAAAGTTATTTCTTAGGTCTGAAACAAAACTGGTCTGAATAATTCTGTTTTTCACTTTGAATGACTTGAAACTTAAGCATCAAGCAATGAGGTCAACTGTGTAGAATAGCAGAAAAAAAAGTTATTTTTTTAAGTCTTAAACAAAACTGATCTGAATTTTTCCGTTTTTCAGGTTGAATGACTCGTAACTTAAACATCAAGCAATCAGGTCACGTGTGTAGAGTAGCAGAACAAACAAAATGTTATTTTTTAGGTCTGAAACAAAACTGGTCTGAACATTTCTGTTTTTCTGTCTGGAAAACCCATTTAAAAATTACGAGATAGGATATTCAATGCATTTGTTGTTTTTGTCTTGCAGTTTGCATTTTCCTTTTTAAAACGAATTTAATTGCTGTTTACTGGAAAGGGTTACCGAAATTTTAGCGAAAAAAAAAATTTCAAAATTTTGATTTTGAAGTAGCTTTGTCATATTTTTTGAAAACATTTTTAAGATAAACCCAAGCATATCGATCTTCTTTATCAGCAATGGTTTATTCCCATCAACTCGTCCCATTTACGGTGTACAAATGCCCAGCACAAGGAAATAAGGACTACCAAGAAAAAAAAGATCGGTTAGAACTTTTAAGGTTTTATACATCAAATTCTTGAAGCTTTTGTTGCACCCAAGTTAGAGTTTATTACACAATGACATGAATCATTTCGAACTATTTTCATTTAGAACACGACAGAAAAATGTCGAAACAATCTGACTGCCGCGGCCTTGAAATTATGATACAATTCCATAATCTTAATTCGAACAATTTTTCAAAAATTCAAATTTGAAACACCCTTTGTTAGCTTTTGTTCGAGTATAATTCTTCAAAGCAGTGTCCTAGAAAAACAGAGTAGCGTCCTAGAAGGACCTACAATTTTTCCAAGCTTTTTATAACATTCAAGCATTGCAATTCTGTATGTTGTTCCGATCACTAAATTGGGATGATTAGTTTTTGTGAAGAAAAACGTTACCAGTTTTGTTTATATTTCTACAGTGTAAACAAAATCAAGAAGCACAATTAAACGACAAATGGTGTCGAAATATTTATCATATCAATACCCTTTAATCGCTGTTCGATCCTCATTTAAAACATGGAAAATATTTTTGGTGTCTAGAAAAAAAGAACATTTGTTGTTCAATTGTTCAATGTTTTATTTGATACCAAGTTTAAATTCTATCAATCGACTAATTATTGCAATAAAAAAAGATGAAAGATGGTATCTATAAAAATTTGAACATAATTAAAGATAGAACACCAAAATCTTAGTTTCTTTCAGAACAACAATTATGATAAGATATTTCCGGTTTTCGATAGCATAAAATTCGGTTACATGAGAAAAAATCCCTCAACTTAAGATCCCAAACGAGAGGATCCCAGTCGATACCCTACCATTACAAAAGATACCTCGTTCTAAAATCGCCCACGAGATAAGATATCATAAAATAACAAAGAACCAATGAATTGAATAAAGGCGAATCGAAGAAGGTACCATCTACAAGACAGATTTTGTTGTACAATTTAATTGCTTTGCAGTTCTCAAAATCGCCAAAAATCAATATGCGTTCCGTATCGTATTTTCCGCTACTGAAAAGACAAAATTGCTTAAAACGATCCGATATTTTGAAATGACGCTCATTTCTGGCAATAAGGGGCAGGGATGCAGTTTGTTTACTTATGTTTAGAGCTCGCGTTATCGCCGACCGGGAGGGCAAAGACAGTTGGGTTGCCTTGTCGACCTGCACTAATTTCTAACTAGCTGCGATGATCTGGCTGACTTCAATTATGTATTTAAAGACAGTAAATCCATTTTCTAGAAGTTGCTGGTGTAAAAATTATTGAAAAATTTTTTAAGATCTACTTTGCAAAGTCGTAAGGCATTCTCTTCGAGAGCGTCAGATCGTGTTATCGACCCCCTGCCATGGCAATGATAGTGTGTGAGGACGAGCTCTTATTTGACCTCTAGTCTCAGGTCTACCAGAGCCTGACCGATAGCGGCTGCAATAGTGGTACCACATGAAAGTTGTAGACACAAAAAACGGCCTGAGTAAAATAAAATAGCTTCGCTTAACAAAGTCTGGAAAGTGGAGATATAAGAGAAATCTAACTATGTTTAGACAGGCTGAGAATAATCTATCATAGATCCTCTCTCTGCATACTGCAAAACCAAAATTGTTATTTAAGAAAAATTTAATTAACAAATAAGTATAGCACATTAAAACGAATTTCACAATCAAATTGCAAAAATAACTGCCTCTTCATTCAGCTGCCGATATTAACAAAATTCTCAAAAATTCAGTACACAAAACACCCATCAATCCAATTTAACCATTTCCGTTAACTTAAATTAGCTAAGGTACAAACAAAGACAATAAATAACATGAGAGCTCAAAAACTTGTATCGTATTAAATCCGCTGATTTGAACTAAGCATTTTTCCAGGTAAAATTAAAGAAAATCCTCGTATCTGGAATATGCAATTTAACAATCACTATAATTTATTCAGCTCAGTTCAGTTCAGTTTGATATCGCTCAGCATGACACGACAAAGAAAAAACAAGTCCATATGGTGTGGTGCTTGGTACTCTCAGTAGAAATCGTCGTCCATGTCGTTGCCGCCCGTTGTTTTGCTCTTGTTGGCATTCTTGATCTGGTCCTGGCTGTTGTACATTTTGGCCACTTGGTCTGCCCCGGTTGCCTGCTCCGGACTCTTGTCATCCCGACATCGGATGAACCTGGGAAAGCGGAGAGAGATTCCCTTTCCCGGCTCCACGAGGCCCATCGCGGCTCTGTGAATTGGAGACAGGGACAAGTCTGCTGCCTTCACCTCCCATACCTGAGTGGGTTCGAACCAGGCATCCGGTTCCAGACCAGAGTCATAGGAGTAGTACGTGGGGGGAGTGTCGAGTTGACTGTCTGCAAACTGCGTGTTCAGAGTCACCAGCTGCAGTTCCGAGAAACCAGTGCCGATCTTGCAGATGGACTGGTACTCCTCTGAATCTTCGTCATAACAAGCCAGCAGAAATCCCCCAAACACTCCACTTCTCTTGCCCTTTCCCCTGTAGCCTCCTATCACTACCAGGTCCAGGGTGTCTCCGATTCCCTCCAGATAATCCTTCTTGAGCTTGAGCCAGTTGTGAGATCTGCGTGCGATCTCGTAACTGGCGTAGCTGTCCAGTGTTTTGATCATGAGTCCCTCGCAGTTGCCTTTTATGGACTCATCCAAGAACACTGCTATCTCGTCTGTGTCATTCGTGTCGGAGTGAGTGGCGAAGGCCAACTTGCCCTCTATCTCATTCAAACTGTCTTTCATCGCCTGTCTTCTCTCTCGCAGACTCTTCGGAACCAGACTGCTCCCATTCAGATACAACATGTCAAACGCATAGATGCACACTTGTACACGGATGTTTTCCTCCAGCACATCCTTGCGTTTCCTCGTGGTCAGCACCTGGAACGGCAGAATCGCCTTCTTGTCCGCGTCCCATGCCACTATCTCGGAGTCTATGATGCAGCTCTCCACTCCCTCCTTCACCATGTCCTCTGCTATCTTCACCACATCCGGGTACTTTGTAGAGTTGTCTTCCTGGTTGCGGCTGAATATCTTCACTTTCTTGTCGAATATGTGGATCTGGGCCCTCTCTCCGTCGTACTTGTACTCGCTCGTGAATGCCCCCTTAGAGTCCAGTCTGCTCAGGATGTCCTGCACTCCTTTGGCCGGATGTGCCAACATTGGCTTCAGAGGAATACCAGGAGTCAGTTTGCAATGATCGCCCAGTGCATCAATGCCATGTTCGAGAACTGCTTTGATGATATTCTCCATATTGGGATGCTCGCAGTAAGTGCTTTTAACCAAATACACTATGTGTTCGCTGCGTTTCTTGTAGTCACTCAGCTCACCCAGTGGCTTGTCATTGCTTCTGTCGCTCTCCATGGCTGCGAAGGCCTGTCCCAGTGACGTCAGCACAGTCTGTTCTGCCAGTCCAATGCGCAACTTACCCGCCAGCGTCCTCAAGATATATCTGGCCTCGCACTCGTGACATGCCACCAGCAGAGAGCGAATCTTCTCTATTTTCTTGCTCATCACGGAGTTGCCACTCATCTCCGAGATGCTCTTCAGCCTATCGAACACTGTCTTTACAGTCAGTCTAGCCGGCACAAATAACATCTTCTGAGACGTGCGACTCTGTTCCGCCACTATGCCCAGATCCCCCACAGAGTGCATGTCCTCCTTGATCTTGTCCACATTTCTGCCAGTGGCCTGTGCCAGTGCCTTCATCAGCAGAGTCTCCCCTATTCCCAGTTCCTGTCCCTCGTACGCAGGTCCTAACTTGTTCAGACTCAAGTACACGCAACTTAGCACGTCCTTTGGAGACAGTCGAATGGCACTGCGTAATAAGTTCGTGAGGGTGAGAGTGATTCTCAGACGACTTGGTTCCTCCTCGATCAGTTTGAACGCTTTCGCCACTGCCAAGTAGGGGATCTGCTCCCCCTCTCGCCAACATGCACTGCCCACTGGTCGGTAGCTCTCTTGATTCGCGCAGAATTCGGAGGAGGAAGCGATTACTTCATGCACTTTCTTCTTTTCTGAATTGAAACCACTGACAATTTTCTTCTCGGCTGTGGACGATGCAATATCACGCGGAATCTCCACTTTGTCCAGTGGCGGCTCAGTGCTCGATGTCTCTTTCTTGTCTGTTTTAGGAGTTGAAATTGAAGCGGCAGATGAGCTCCCAACTGTTTTCTGCTTTTTTGAACTCTTTTCAGTGTTCGACTTGGTGGCTGTTTTCTTCAGTGCAGAAGGCGCTTTCTTGTTACTCTTGGGTGTCTTTGTCGTCACGCCCTTTGTCTCTGAGCGGAACACTTTCTTCGGCGGAGATCTATCCTCGTCCTCATTATCCTCTTTCTTTTCCTTCTCCGTTTCTCTGTCTATCATCTCCACAGAGCGGGAGGAGTTCTCATCCTCTACAGCTGCAGTAGCAGCAGCATTAGTAGAAGCAGTGTTCCATGTCTCTCCTGACACTGACTGCTTTCCCTCTGGTTGTTCTGTTCTCTCTGGCGTCGAGTTCTCCTCGTCACTGTCCTCTTCTATCACCCTCTGTGACTTCCTCTTCTTGCCCACTTTGCAGATAGGGGATGTCGTCCCTTCTTCTTCTTCTTCTTCTTCTTCTTTTCCTTCCATCTCTCCTTCTGTTGCCACTACTCTTGTTTTTGCTGTTTTTGATTCTACTGGTTCCCTCTTTGTCAGTGTGAACTTGTCTGAAATATTCTTCTTGCCTGAAGGTGACTTTTTACTCTCCTCTGTCTCTAGCGTGTCTTTCTTTCTATTCGCACTGTTTGTGGTGTGATGATGCTTCAGCTGTTGTCTGTTCTGCTGGGACTGTGAGAGGGCCAATGTATTACCAGCTGTTGCTGCCATCATTCCTCCGGCTACCGGTGATGACTTGGATATTGTCTTGGCACTACAGAAAAAACTCTGGATCGATTTCTGGGCCATCATTGACTATCTGAGATAAAGTTCATGAATACATTTCACTTCCAAATAAATCAAAACTTTTTAAAATTAATTATATCAATTAATTAACTTTGATTAATTAATTTTCATACAATTTTCTCACTATTCTGTAATATTTTCTTTACTGAGTTCAAAACTTCACCAAGAATGTTTACAATATTTACCATTCACAAGCATCGATGTTTTCAATATAGCATTTTTCTATATCCCTTTTAAAACACAACCAGCGATTCACAAAAAGGAGCTCTAAAAATTCAAGATGAAACAGTGCACTTTCAGAGGAAAAATACCAAGAACTAAGGAAACGAGCTTCGACAATTTAAACCTGAAAATGATTAACAGTTGAAGAAATGATTTATAAACTAAATCGGTGATATATTACAATAGGTGGCAATTTACAGATCTATTTGAGCAGTGCATACATTAAATTTGAGAACTGTAATGCGAAATATAGTAATTTCTTTTTCAATCAATTTTACATTTTTCTCAAAATTAAAACATCTTTTGCCCAAAAATTTAGCTTTGATATAATTTATAAATACTATTCGAAGTATAAGAAAGAACAATTTAGCTATTTAACTTGAATCTGCCACCTGTTGTAAAATATCATCACTAAATCTAAGATCTTTCAACATTTGTCTCCAATATACTTCACTTTTAGAAAAACAGGCTGAAAAAGACAATTGTCAGCTTCAAATTAGTGTTGAGAAACTTTCACAACATGGTACACAGAGGAGAAGCTGAACTTCGCACCACTTGCGATACAAAATTGAATGACTATAACAAAATCAAACAAAAAAATCATATTTGGAGGCAAGCATCAAAACCTCTGAGAGTACTCTGGTAGCCCGCAACTACAGGGTTGGAAATTTCAAATTTTGAAAAAATTTAAGTTTTCTGAAATTTTTTCTTTGAAAAAATCACAAAAACGTCACTTCTCAAAAACTACAAGGACTTGAGCGGTCTTATTTCAAGGCAAAACTGAAAACTTGTTGGAATACCTTGAGGGATAATCTAAGTTTTTGATATTTTTGCATAACTTCGTTCTTTGAACAACATAAAAAAAAAGACATAATAAAGGTCACATCTCGGAAACTAAGACCGTCGGAGCAGTCGCAATTTCCCGCAAGATTTGCAACTTTGGACTCCTGAGAGAACCCTCACAATACCCAACTTATAGGTTGGGAGTTTCAAATAGTTTGAACTTTTTAAAATCTTCAGTTTTTAAAGTTTTCTTTAAAAAAATTGAAAAAATCATAGAAGCGCCATATCTCGAAAACCAAAAGGATTTGAGCAGTCATACTTGAACGCCAGATTTGAAACCTTTGAAAGCACCCTTATAGCACCCCACTGTTGAATTGAGAAATTCAATTTGGGCTGGTGTTCTCTAAATAAATAAGTTTTGAAAAAAAATCATAAAACAAGTCAGATCTCGAGAACTACAAGGTTTTGTGCAGTCATATTTGAAGGGAAGATTCGCAACCCTTGAGATTACTCTGACAGTACCCAATTGCAAGTTTCGGAATCACAAACCTTTTGTATCACTTTGTAATTTGGGCTTTCTGAAAAATTTTGAAAAAACCACATAAATCGTCGTATCTCGTACACTAAAAGGATTTGGGTATTCATGATTGGAGGTTAATTTTGCAATCCATGAGGGAACCCTGACAAAATTCCACTATAAGGCTGCTTATTTTAAATTCGGCCAATTAAACACTGAATTCAACTGGAAAATCAAAGAAAAATTTTAACCATTGCCATATACGATATAGCTTCAGCGTGAAAATAATCTTTCGTTAAACGTGCAAAAATAATACGTTGAACGCTTAAACGTGGCAAGATAGTGAAGCCCTTTAAGTATAATATAATAGATTAATCATTGGCATTTTCTACAATATTGACCCAAATTTAAAGCAATGGATCAACGAATAAGCTTTTAAATCCACTGTGAAATCTATAAATTAAAATCCACTATCGAAACAGAAATCATTCATATGCTTTCGCACAATTTTCGCTTTCGTAATTGGCGTGCGTAATTTACCTAACTTTTAGCAGATCGATTTGAATTGAACTCAGAAAGTTCACATATACCAAGTGCATTCATAAATGCATTAATATGTATGAATTAACGTCTGTAATTATTAGAGCATTTTTAGACTTTTTCCTGAAAAACAAATCATCAAGACTCAAAAAGTTGAAAATCACTTGCTTCTTTTACATTTAAAAACGCGTATTTAACATTCAAACATGCTAAAATATGTATTTTGGCTGAAATATATTTTCGACGAGTTCTTCACACAGAAAAAAGTCGATGATCCGATTTCAAAATGGGCGGGAAAAACCCGCTCTACGGAATAGTCCCTTCCACTCATTCGGCTTGATTTTCAATTTTTGTTCAGACCACTGTCGTTGAGATTGATTTGAAATAGGGAAATTGTCCACTAGTAAAATTCTCTCAAAAGCCCGTAAGTGGTCCACTCGAATGCAGGATTGCTGACGAAAGCTTGTCGATATTTTGAGGTTTAGTGTATCAATTCAAGCTGCCCATTTATATGTAAAAAAACTGGTTGAAAGAACTTTATTAGAACTAATAGTTTAAACAAGGCCAACATACTGTTGGAAAAGAATCATGGAACGCAAAAGACAACAAAAAAAAACACTTTAACATTTCAGGCAAAAACTATATCGTGACCTTACATTTTCCTGTTTGATTGTAAAGTTTGCCTTCTTTTTAAGAAAGGAAATGAACTGAAATTCTAGAAAATCAAAAGTCAAACAGCGAAAAAATCAAATTTGAGCTGAACAAACTTTCCTGAAAAAAAAAACAAATCATCACGCCCTGTAATAGAGACTTAACTACGTTGACTCTTGAACATTTCGAGCGCCAAAAACAACCACAACGGAAATTTGGGAGGAATCTGAAAAGTTAAAGACACAATCTCAGAATTGAATCTGTTTCTGCTATGATTGAAAGTTCCAATGTTCAACCTCAGATGTATTGCTGAAGCATGTCAACCCAGAAGCTTCGGACTTCCCTTCGTTTTATCACAGCAGTCACAGACATTTTCTGGTTCGACGGGCATAAGCAGCATCTTGTATGCCTGTCTTGACGAAACTGCTTATGTATCTGTTTGTTTGTACATGTCTCATCTGTGCTCTATCTTGTCCATGGTGATCAGTGGCTTCAAATGTTCCACAAATGCCTTCAGTTCATCCCCCACCTCATCCTAAACACAGAGCAGACACCTACTATCACTTAAGGTCAATCACACAAGAAGCAGCTCACAATTGGAGTGCAGCTAGAATGCTATGACTGTGATTTAAACCGCACTCAAAAGGTAACACTACTTCTACCACTATTACTGTTGCTGCTGCTGTAGCTGTGGTGATTCATGTGGAATACATATGCAGTGGTATTCAACAAAAAAATTTGCTTAACTAGTTTAAAAAAAGGTTTGTAAAAATTAAACCTATAACTAACTTGTAAATGATTAAAAATAAGTATACATTTTCAACTGTAAATGTTGGTTGTACCTGTGGGAGGTGTGTGGGTGCAGTGCACGATGCCTCCACCAGGAGTGTGGAGGGGAACACAGGCTGCAGATGTCTGTCCAGATAGGTGGCCCTCATGTGCATCTCACACTCCTTCTCACCCTCTGCTCCTGCACCAGCCGTCACTCGGAACACTCTGCTCACAGTCACTCTCAGTCTACACAAACAAGACAATGATAGACCTAATCCAATACTCCGCACTAGATGGCTAGCTGATCTTGTACAAATCTATACGCCAATTAAGACCATTCAAACATCTACGAACTTGAAACATCTACGAACTTGAAACATCAGCAAAAAAAAATTGAGAGAAAAAAAACCACTTTTTTGTCGCATTAACTTTTGCAGTTACAAAACTGATTGTGAATGGAACATTATTATTAAATACGTGAAAAAAAAACAAAGTGTTTCATCAGTCAATACATGAGATTATATAAGACTCTCCTTAAGAAGTAAGGGGGAAGTTGGTTGTTGGTAGAGCCTACCCTTTATAAGTATTAGAATTTTTCCTCTAGTATGCATTTTTCAATTAATTTGTTTGATTTGGTACAGGTTTTCGTCATAAAGATGATTTTTGGAATTACCAAGTTCAAATTTTTTATTGATGTAAATAGGAATGACCTACAAAGAAATTCGGCTTTACACAATTCTGGCAGGAGAATTGAGCCGGTGCGATGATTAAAGCGGAAATTAGAATTCGGAAACTGCAGGAAGTTAAATGTTCTAATTCTGTTTTGGCTTAATTTATAAAGATATTGTGTTGATCTGTAAGTGATTTTAACTCACATGGGAATTCTGTGTTTTTCCCTCACATATGTGACAGAATCTCTTATGATTATGTTCATGACAATTCGTATACTCCATTTTATTTGCTTTCCCAGCTTGTCTTGAATTTCTTCAGTACAACCATTCAAAAGCATGCATCGGTAGTGTAAAGGGATTACTTCAGGGGCATTGAATAAAAGGATTCTGGTTCGTAGAGAAATTTCATCTCTTAAGCATTTGATTGTTTGGATTGCACTAGCCATCTTCTGTGCCACTTTGTTATATTCTTTTTAAAAAAGTTAAACATGCATCTATATTAACACCGAGAAACTTGACTGATTCAGATATTTTGACTTGGTAATTTCCTAAATGCAGCTTGCAGTTTCCTATGAGTTTTTGTGATGGAGCAGAGAAAATGGCGAACTGAGTTTTGTCTATATTTATTATTAATTGGTTTAAATGAAAATATGAGAATATTCTGCTGAAAATGGATTCAATGATTTGTGTTGCGGATATCGGATTTGAATGGAAACTTGATCTGGCATATCATTGACATATAAGTTAAACGGCAGAGGTCCTAGTACAGTACCCTGAGGTACACTTTGCTGCTGTCTGTTTTCTAGAAAAGAACTTACCAGATCAGTGGCTGATGTTTCAAAGCCAAGATTCCTCATTTTATGTTTTTCGAGGACGGGATGTGATAGCGAATCAACTGCTTTCGAGAGATCTAAAAATGCCGCTGCTGCTACATTATGTTTATCAAGATGGAATCTGATTTTTTCTGTTGAGCATAAAAGAGCATTATTGGTCGAATAACCGTGCCTAAACCAAATTGTTTGCGGTTTAGGATATTATTATCAAACAAAAATTGATTTATAAATAAAACTTGCTTCAAACATTTTGTGTGAGTAACATATTTGAATTGTAACTTTTTGGTATCAGTTCTCAGAGCAGTAGGTTTGGTGGACATTGAAATTGGAGGCTGCGTTTTTATAGACGCCTTAAGTTGAAAACTTGTAATTAAGCAAGTCAGCTTTCTTTTTATTATCATTGATTAATTTACCAAATGAGTTCCGCAACTCATTCATCTGGATAGTTTGCTTCACTGTATTTCTCATGGAGTTGATGAAGTTACATTGCTTTTTGGGACTCTCAACATTCTGAAAATTGCTTTCATCTCAATCTTGTATAAAAATTTGAGATGATTGTTGTATCGATCTCTCGCGCGTTTAAAGGTTCCATAATCTAAAGCAGTTTGTGAAGACTGCAAACTTCTTAGTGCAATTTCTTTTTCAATCTTGATGATTTGTCTATTGAATCCATACCTTTTATAGATAATTGAAGTGGTGGTTTATTACGGACAAACTTCTTTTAGCTACAAGAGGTTCCTTACAAAGAGATTAGGTTGTGATAATATAATCCAAGAGAGACCTGCTGAGTTATATGTTGGCAACGTTTTACTTGGACAAGTTATATGGTTTAATCAAACCGCTGAGAAATCTGGCTTCTGCTTTGTTGAGGTGATTGATGTTGAGATCTCCAAGGATAGTCAAATCTCTTGCTTCCGAAGCTACATAGTCAATACATTTCAATGCGTCTTCAATGAAAATTTATGTGGACTGTAAGAAAGAGCTTTTACCTGCCTTTTTGATTGCTTTGATATGATTGGATTTAATTTTACCCAGATGCCTTCGAAGTGGGAGGGACGTAAGAAATTTAAGTCTTCCCGGATCGTACGGTTAAGATTGCTTAGATTCTAGAACTCTTTATTGATCTGATTTCAAAATAAACACTACTTCAGCTCCACAATTTTCTGTCACATGTTTCACACAGAGAGGCGAAGTGGCGCTTCGCAAACACAAACGTGGAAAATGCAAAATAGAGCTCTGAACAGGCAAAACTAAATGAACTAAGTAAAAAATTAAAATACACCTTAAAAAAAAATCTTTTGTTGAGACTAAGAGTATCATGCTCTCACAACTCCTCCACACACGCTTGTAATTTAACAAACATCGCCAATCGAAGATTGGAAAAGAGTAATGAACGAAAACAAACATTGAAAAAAAAACACTGATTTTGTTGAAACCGTTCGAATTCCAAAGAAGAAAATAAATGTCCTTTAGACTCTTTAAATTTCTAATACTACTTATGATTTGTGCTTTTTTGATAAAAATTAATCCAACTTGAGAAAAATGGATCAACAGGTAAAAGTTTTATTCCACTGGAAAATTAAAAATAAAATTCTACTTTCGAAACTCCAAATCGTTCACATTTTTTGCTCCATTTCCATGTTTGTATTTGGAGAGTGCTATTTACGTCACTTTCAGCAGATGATTTTCAATTGAACTCAAAAAAAGCATATATACCTAAGCGCATCTATAGATGCATCAATAAGTAAGAATGCATATCTGACGTTATTAGAGGCTTTTCAGACTTTTTCGTGGAAAAAAAATCAGCAAGACCTACATAAGAGTCTTCACTACGTTCATTACTCTTAAACACTAGCTACCACTAAGACAGCTACAGTTACTATCAAATTGCCAATATTATGCAGCAAAAAAGGAACCAAAAATGAAACTATTTAAATGTTCCGGATTTGAATATCCGAACTGTTAATTAGGAGTCTCACGTACTGGTATCTACGCGACGGTCGCTTGGAAGTAAAATAGCAGCTCAGCCTATGTTCAAAACAAAAAAGCCATAAATCCCATTACTGAAACTTTTGAAGGCCGTAGAACGTGAGATTGAATGAAAAAAGACTAACAAAACATGCAGAAAGCTGCAAAAAATTTTCAGTGTCGCAAAAAAAAATCAATTTCCCTACATTTTCATAATACATGACAGGTTTTTTCAAACACGACCTAACACTAGCTAAAAATAAAGCAATATAAAGCAGCAACATATGTCATTAAATTGTTTATGCTTAAATATGATTAAATTGAAATAAACCAAAAGTGCCACCAAATGAGCACTTTTATTAGCGACTTAGGTTAGAAAAAAAACTGTTGATACACCACGCTTCGCTTGTGTAAATAATGAAAAAACTCTACTCTAAGTAGAAGCTGAAGTCTACTGAGACAAACTAAGAAACATACATCAGAGAGAAATACTGCTACAGAGAGAGTGATATATGACCATAGAAGAATGGGAACACACCTGTCTTTGACGAACACGTTTCCTTTGAGTACTAGATGGAAGTCCAGTTTGAAGCCCATGTCCTCCAGGAACTTGTGTGCCCCTTCCCCCCTCTCCCTCTCACCAGTATGTGGGGGAGTGAGTGCGACAGTGATGACAGTCCTACTCACTGTCGGCTTGCTCCTATCCCTCGCCCCTTCATTCATGCCCTGATACCGCAACTGGTAGGCTGAGGCCATCTGGTCCGACAAACAAGATCTGCGCAACCTAACTCCAATTGTAGCACCACCCATCCCAAATTGAGCTAAAAAACATGCGATTACTAACTTTAACACAGTAGCGTCATTTCGCAAATACAAGCAACAAAAACGACTAACTGCTCTGAAAACTCAACCAGCCTGCAAAAGAAAAGACTCTGCGACAGCGGGCTATTGATTCCACTGTCTCTTGCATTTTATGCAAAACATATTGAAATTCCGCTAGACCACTCGGTCACACTTTTTTGATTATTAAGTAACTTGGCCCCAACGAATGCAATTCTAAGAACTTGAAAAAATCTACAGAATTGCATTTTTATGGCGATTAATGCAGGTTAGTAGTAGTAGTAGTAGAAAGACTTCAATTTCCTATTAAAGGAACTACAGAACAATTACACAAAGATATCAAAAAAGACTTTAGTGAAAATAAAAATTTTAGGACAATTAAATTAAAACTGGTATAATATTTTTGTTCAAGCAATGCAAGTACGACATCTGCATTTTAAAGATCAGATGCAAGTTCGCATAGGATCATAACATGTTGCTGTTCGCCGAAAAAAGGCAATCGCATTTCATTTTCATAGCTGTTTGAGGGTGTTATCAGGTTGATGTTGAAGATTTCACAGAAATCGTTGACACAGAAAACAACTATCGAAGAAGGAAGGGTATGATTGCCCTTTCTGAGAGTATCTCCGATTCAATTCAAGATTCGATGCACTGCGGAGACTGTAAAGGTTTAACAGAGAAAAAATAGTCAAATGGCAGACAATTTAAACCGATATTGATCGCCGTAAAAAATCGCAGATCTTTTCCAATAAGCTGATAAGAGATCGGCATAGATGGGATTTTTTTAGAAGTTCTGTGTAAAAAACTGAAAGACCAGTTGAAAGTATTTTGGCTGAGATATTTTCGCTCCGTTCAAGTTTGAATGTAATTGTATTCCAAGATCAGCAACAGAGCTCTGCTTTACAAATTCAATGTTACAAAGAAACATTTTAAATTGTGAGCTATTGATATGAAGATAACAGCATTTGACGGAATTGAAAGATAGCTCATTTCCACAACTTCATAGCATCAAAATCATCTTGAAGAATGCTGTTGAGTGATTCACCTTGAGCTACTAGTTTTGTATCATCAGCATAACAGTTACAACTGGATAAGGAGTGTAGGTCAAGATGTCATCGATATAAATTAGGAATAAAAACGGCCCTAATATGCTTCCTTGGGGTACACCACTAGTCACTGGCCAAACACTAGTAAGTGTTCCATCAATATTCACTCGTTAGTAGTGATTAGCTAAATAAGATGATAATAAGTCAATAAAATCATTGTCAAATCCAAAAGTTACCAGTATCTCAATAAGAAGGCAATGCTCTACTGAGTCGAAGATTTGCTGAAACCGAGATACACTACTCCGACTTTTCTACCGCAATCTAGACTTTGGCATAGTTGGTCGAGAAAAACTAATAACTGAGTGACAATCGAGTTCCCTTTGCGAAAGCCATGTTGACGAGTTAATCCTGTGTTGAATCTTTCAACAAATAAAGTTGAACAAAATTTTTTCAAGAATGAGAGATAATCTTGGCAACAAGGAAATGGGACGGCAGTTTTTAATAAACGCTTTTGATTCATTCTTGTGAATGGGAGTGATGTATGCACATTTCTAAAAGTTTGACCGCTTCTTTGTAATCAGAATGTGATTAAAGAGAGCATAAACAAAGACAGATTTCATGTCGGTCACTTCGGAACGCAATTGAAGGTAATGAATCACAGACTGGTGTCGATCTTAGTGGTGACCGACATAAATGTTCGGAAATATCAGCTGAAGTAAAATTCAGCCCCATTCAATATGACAGTCACATTATGACAAAAACTATGAGAGCGACTGAAGGTAGTTTTGATGTAGACAGAACTGAAGTATTCATTGAAGCGCTCGGCTTTCTCGTAATTCATTCACTGAAATTGCGAGAACGGGAAAGAAGAACTGTCTGATTTAGTTCAATAAAACGCTCCCTTTCATCTTCTAGTCTATCGATTCGAGTTAAGTTTGTGGCGCGATGTCTAGCACTATCGAGCATATTTAAATTATGAACAGTTGACGATACAGTAAAAGGAATAATTTAAATTTTTCCTTCAATTTGTGCTGATTGAGTAGCTTAGAGCAGTCAAGGCACGACGTGAATACCGAAAGTAAAGAAATCGAAATTTTTGTCATAACTAACTTGCAAAAAACTTCTGCTGAGTTGTAACGACTGAGTAAACTTCTGCCTATTATATGAACTGAGGCTAAAACAATTTTTCTCCGAATTCTGTAATATAGAGCGGATGTCTTGATAAAGTAGCACAGGATAATGGTTTGAAAGCTCTTCATGTAAAACAATTTAACCACAGTTATCAGCAATAGTAACAAAGATCAGATCTAGAATGTTTACTTGTTTATGAGTCGCATTGCGAACGATTTGAGTAAATGAGCTTAATTTGTGATCAGAATGTGATTAAAGAGAGCATAAACAAAGACAGGGTTCATTTCGGTCACTTCGGAACGCAATTGAAGGTAATGAATCACAGACTGTTGTCGATCTTAGTGGTAACCGACATAAATGTTCGGAAATATCAGCTTAAAGTTAAATTCACATCATTCAATATGACAGTCACATTATGACAAAAACTATGAAAGCGACTGAAGGTAGTTTTGATGAAGGCAGATCTGAAATATTCATTGAAGCGCTCGGCTTTCTCGTAATTCATTCACTCTGATATTGCGAGAACGGGAAAGAAGAACTGTCTGATCTAGTTCAATAAAACGCTCCCTTTCATCTTCTAGTCTACCGATTCGATTTAAGTTTGTGGCAGGATGTCTAGCACTATCGAGCATATTTAAATTATGAACAGTTAACGTTACAGTAAAAGGGGTAACTTAAATTTTTCCTTCGTTTTGTGCTGATTGAGCAGTCAAGGCACGACGTGAATACCGAAAGTAAAGAAATCGAAATTTTTGTCATAACTAACTTGCAAAAAACTTCTGTTGAGTTGTAACGACTGAGCAAACATCTGCCTATTATATGAAGTGGTGCTAAAACGATTCTTCTCCGAATTCTGTGTTATAGAGCGGATGTCTTGATAAAGTAGCACAGGATAATGGTCTGAAAGCTCTTCATTGAAAACAATTTAACCACAGTTATCAGCAATAATAACAAAGACCAGATCTAGAATGTTTCCTTGTTTATGAGTCGCATTTCGAAGGATTTGAGTAAATGAGATTCATCCATTAAAAGTCTAAAAAAACTTTGCTCGTCACAGTGATGACTGATGGCAGTATCCCAGCAAATCGAAGGCATGTTATAATCTCCCATGAGTAAAATTTGTAAAGATCCGTATGAAGGTAAACTACGAATGAGAGCTCAAGTTGGGAAGATTGGATGTAAAATTATGAACCACGAGGAGGAAGATAAAAGAAAGCTGTACAGTAAAGGTTTGACTCGAATTCGAACAGAACACTAATAAAGGATTCATAAAAAAACTAAGTATTTTGCAGTTGGTTAGAAAATTATCGTGAAAGGCAATTAAAAGGCCTCCGTGATGACCAGAAGCACGATCGATGCGGCAAACACAAGTGTAAGAATGGCTCAGAAAAAGGGAGGATTTGCTAATAGACAAAACAAGCCATGTTTCAGTTAAACAAACAATTGTAGGGTTTTGTACGCGCATGGCATCTAGAATCTTCAATCTTTTTTCAATTCTAACCAAACTTCAGTTTAACAGATAAAAAGAAATTGCGGAGCCGGTTAAATGAGAGTATAAGCCAGATACATCATTTTGTAGTCAAGAAGATATCTCAATCACTTTGTCTCCGTTGATTTTGTATTTCTTCACTGGGATTTCAGTTTCTTTTTATTTTCGCTTTTGAGTTCGGACTAAAAAGTGATTAGCTTGTTCAGTTGGTGTGAGATCAGGGTTTATAGAAAACAAAAATGTAATCGTTTCTAATTTACAAAATGTACTTGAATCTTTCTTGCTTTGAACTTTGATTTGATTATAAATTAGTTGGTTGCACGTGTTTGGTAATTCAGTTTTGTATTTATTTTGAGTTTTGGTTTTCAATTTCTTTCCCGGAGTTTTCCTGATTGCATGTGAAAAGTTGAAGTCATCTAAGATGGTTGTCAATTGTCAAATTGGCATATAACACTCGGCCTCATTTTGCAGTTGCAAAATAAATTAAGAAAAAAGGGGTGGGGGTAGTTCCTACTTATAAAATTTAAAACGCTGGCTTAGCGGTCGTTTAAGTGTCAGTTGAAGTTATCGGCTATGGTTGTCGGCGCAAGGCTGCTTAGGGGTGAGGCTCTCATTGTCGTGAATCTTCGTTTGCTGGTTGATTGCAATAATCCGGACTAACAGGTGCTAGTCTAATGGCTGGTATTGACGCAATTTTGTCTCTTATTTTGACGAAGTAAACGCGGATCTGATCATCATCGGTTGGTTTGTTTCCTGTGATCCGTCCAATTGGCCAGAGTCCTCGTGGCGTCATATCCTGAAGAATCTAGACAATTTCTCCTATTTTGATAGGCGGCGTCTTCTTTGTCCATCGTTGTCTTTGCAGTAGTGTTGGGATAAACTCCTTCATCAAGCGTTTCCAAATATGGGTTGCGAGTTGTTGGGCGAATTTCCATTGTCGACTGAGTGTTGAGGGCTGTTGGGTTTGTAGAGGTGGCATGCTGGCATGCGCTCTCCCGAGAAGAAAATGATTTGGGGTGAGGGCTTCAACATCATCGGGCGATGCTGAAACTGTAAAGATGGGTCTTGCGTTCATGAAGTGTTCAACTTCGCAAAGAACGGTGTTGAATATGTCGTCTGTTAGAATCTGGCTTCCTATGATGGCATAGAACGAGTCTTTGACTGATCTTATGAGTCGTTCCCATACACCTCCGAAATGAGGAGCATAGGCAGGGTTGAAGGTCCATTCAATCTGATGGTTGGCGTAGAATTGTCGTGTAACATCGGCGTCGAAGTGTCTCTTGAGTTCTTTTTCGGCTGCAGTGAAATTTGTACC